CAGGCCCAGGAGAGGCAGATGAACGAGGATGTTACCAGGTTAGTAAACAATGGCCAGGCATGGGAGCCTCACCCTGCGCACAGGCGAGCAAATGACACATCCCTGTTCACGCTGCCCTCTGCCACTTGCCCGGGACTTTACCAGGAAACCACCGTGAATGACAGGAAGCAGAACAAATATGTATTGTGTTCCTACTATGTGTAACACAATGTGCCACAGTCAGGGTTAACCCTTAAAACGAACTAGGCAAATGGGGCGAAATCATTTACCCCATCGTGTAGATGACGAAACTGATATTCGTAAAGGTTAACCAACATCACAGTGAATCATAAATGGGGAAGCAGGATTCAAACCGAAGCCCACCTTGCCTCCCAAGCACAAGGCCCCCATGACCATTTAAAGTCACTTGTGTTGATAAGTACCCAGGACTGCACATGACCCAGCAGATGTCCGGCGCACGCCCACTGAACAGCAGCCCAGCACAGTTACCATTCTTCGGGGGGTTTATAAATTAGAAGAATAAGATCTTTTAATGATTTCAGGGTCACTGAGGAGGCAAAGAAAGCGCATGTTGGATGGGACCCTCGGAAATAACCAGCTTTCGAGGGTAGCAGCATGTAGGACTGACCCAGCCCTGAAGGCACCCAGACTCTGAGCTCTGTGGCCTTTCTTGCAGACAGCCAAGAGCTCCTGCTGAGTGGCCTGGGCACCTGCCCCTCCACGTCACATGATCCCACCAGTTCTGGTCCAAGGCCTTGTGTCAGGGGACCTGGGAAGGGCAGGCTCCTCCCTCCAGCCTCACCCCACGGCTTACACCGAGCACATGCAGTTAGACTTTTCCTTTTGTGCATTCATGGTGCATCTTTCCCACGAGATCATGACCATTTTGAGTGCGTCGTTTGAGGGATGTTCATATTTGTGGGCCCCGTGAATAGGAGCACAAATAATAATGGATAATTACAGCGTGTGGGCCAGGTGCTCTGCTAATGGCTTCTTGGGCTCTGTTCAGTTAATGCTCTCAGTAATCTTAGGAGTTAGCAATTATCATCAGACCCCTTTCAGAGATCAGTAAACTAAAACTCAGACAGGCAGAGAACATGCCATGGTCACTCAGAAAAGTGACAGAACTGGATCTGAGCCCAGACTCTGTCTCTGACCTGGGTGCTCAATCATCTCAACAGAACTTACACGGATACTTGGGCAGGATTAATCTCTCTGGAATACCACTCTGACCTTTGCACCCTGGGTCTATTAAATGGCCACTGTGTCCCCATTTAATTTTATTGAGTTACGTTTATTGAATAAAATCAATATCCATCATCTCCAATATCCAACCTATTCCTCTAGGTTCTGGCTTCTGGTTGACCCTTCTGTCTTCCCCCTTAGAGGACCCACCAGCCTAACAGAAACGCTCATGGCTCACCATTCATCCTCCATGCTGTGCCACCCTCAGGGGTTAGCACCACTGTTACTCTTCTTTGGAATCCCCTCCCTCTCCTTCGACTCCACTCCCTGCAAGTGCAAAGTCTATCTAGTTTACAAAGCCCCAATCACAGGCCACCTCCACCACGAAGCTTTCCCTAACTTATCCTGAGTGGGAAGTGTCCTTGCTTCCTCTGAGTTCCAGTGGCACTTCTCGCCTTCCTGGCTTAGGGAAAGCAGCCACTCCCCTCCTTGTATTAGAGCAGCAGCTTTTAAGCTTCCCCCAGGAGGTCCCCTCAGATCTGGCTGGGGTGAGAGGGTGGTGACAATGAAAGCCAAGTGCATGGGGCTATGGACTCCACCCTCTTCATCCAGAACAACTACCACTTCACTTGTTTGTACATCTGCTTATACACCTGCATGAGATTTCATCTGAAGAAAGGGTTCTCGGAGGAAACAAACCTTGACCTCAGTGAGAAGTTACAACTGACACTGCACAAATACAAAGGATCACGAGAAATGACTATGAACCACAAAATGACTATACACCCCAAAAATGTACAACCTAGAAGGAATGGATAAATTCCTAGAAACGTACAATCTCCTGAGACTGAATCAGGAAGAAATAAAAAATATGAACAAATTACCAGTCATAAAATTGAATCTGTAATAAAAACTCCCAACAAACAAAAGTCCAGGACCAGATAGTTTCACAGGTGAATTCTACCAAACATTTAGAGAGGAGTTAACACCTATCTTTCTCAAACTATTCCAAAAACTTCAACAGAAAGGAACATTTCTGAACTCGGTCTACGAGGCCAGCATCATCAATACCAAAACCAGACAAAGACACCACAAAAAAAGAAAATTACAGGACGATATCACTGATGAACTTAGATGCAAAAATCCTCAACCTAATATTATCAAACCAAATTCAACAATACGTTAAAAGGATCATACACCATGATCAAGTGGGATTTATTCCAGGGATGCAAGGATAGTCCAATATCTCCAAATCAATCAATGTGATACACCATATTAACAAATTGAAAAATGAAAATTATATGATCATCTCAATAGACGCAGAAAAGGCTTTTGGCAGAATTCAGTATATATTTATGATGAAGACTCTCAACAAAGTCGTGTATAGAGGGAGCACACCTCAACATAATAAAAGCCACATATGAAAATCCCACAGCTAACGTCATATTCAATAGTGAAAGCATTTCCTCTACGATCAGGAACAAGACAAGAACGCCCACTCTTGCCACTTTTATTCAACATAGTATTATAAGTCCCCAGCAATAGCAATCAGACAAGAAAAAGAAATAAAAGGAATCCAAATTGGAAAGAAAGAAGTAAAACTGTCACTGTTTGAAGATGACATGATACTATATATAGAAAACCTTAGAGATGCCACCAAAAATCTGTTAGAACTAATAAATGAATTGAGTAAAGTTGCAGGATACAAAATTAATATACAGAAATCTGTTGCATTTCTATACACTAACAGTGAACTATCAGAAAGAGAAATTAAGAAAACAATCCCACTTATAATTACATTAAAAAGAATAGAACACCTAGTAATAAATCTAAACCAGGAGGTAAAAGACCTATATTTGGAAAACTCTAAGACTCTGAAGACAGCACAAACAGATGGAAAGATATACCATGTTCATAGATTGGAAGAATTAATATTGTTAAAATGACCATACTACCCAAGGCAATCTACATATTCAATACAATCCCCACCAAAATACCAATGGCATTTTCACAGAACTAGAATAAATAATCCTAAAATTTTTATGGAAACACAGAAGACCCCAAAGAGCCAAAACACTCTTGAGAAAGAACAATAAAGCTGGAGGTATCACACTCCCTGGTTTCAAACTACACTACAAAGCCACAGTGATCAAAACAGTAAGGTACTGGCACAAAAACAGACACGTAGATCAATGACACAGAATAGAGAACCCAGAAATAAACCCAACTTACATGGATGGTCAATTAATCTGCAACAAAGGAGGCAAGAATATACAGTGGGGGAAAGAAATTTCTCCAATAAATAAACGAAACCTCCAGCTGAGAAAACTGGACAGCTGCATGTAGAAGAATAGAATTAGAACATTTTCTCACACCGTATACAAAAATAAACTCAAAGTGGATTAAAGACTTAAATCTAAGACCTGAAAACATAAACCCCCTAGAAGAAAACATAAGCAGTATGCTCTCTGACACCAGTCAGAGCAATATATATTTTTTTTAATATGTCTTCTCAGACAAGGGAAACAAATGCAAAAATAAACACATGAGAATACATCAAACTAAAAAGCTTTTGCACCATAAAGGAAGTCATCAACAAAATGAAAAGGCCACCTACTACTGAACGGGAGAAAATATCTGCAAACAGTATATCAGATAAGGGGTTAATATCCAAAATATCCAGAGAACTCATACAACTCAACATCAAAAATAAACAAACAACCCGATTGAAAAATGGGCTGAAGACCTGAATAGAAATTTTTCCAAATAAGACATACAGATGGCCAACAGACACATGAAAAGATGCTCACTGTCACTAATCACCAGGGCAATGCAAAGGAAAACCACAACGAAATATCGTCTCACTCCTGTCAGAATGGCTGTTATCAAAAAAGCAGCAAATAACAAGTGTTGGTGAGGATGTGGAGAAAAGGGATCCCTTGTGCACTGCTGGTGAGAATGCAAATTGGTGCAGCCACTATGGAGAACAGTATGCCGGTTCCTCAAAAAATTAAAAATAGAACTACCATACAATCAGCAATTCCACAACTGGGTATTTTTTCAGAACAAAAACAAAAATACTAATTCAGAAAGATATATGTACCCCTATGTTCACTGCAGCATTATTTTCAATAGCCAATATATGAAAGCAACCTAAGTGCCCATCAACAGATGAATAGGTAAAGAATATGTGGTATATCTACACAATAGAACATTACTCCGCCATAAAAAAAGAATGGAATCTAGCCATTTGTGACACCATGGATGGACTTAGAGGGTATTATGCTAAGTGCAATAAGTTAGATAAAGACAAATACCATATGATTTCACTTATATGTGGAATCCAAAAAACAAAACAAATGAACAAACGTAACAAAACAGAAACAGACTCAGAAACAGATACAGAAAACAAACAGGTGGTTGCAGAGGGGAGAGGGGTTGGAGGGGTAAGTGAAATATGTGAGGGAGATTAAGAGGTACAAACTTCCAGTTACAAAACAAATGAGTCATAGGGATGAAATGTACAGGATGGAGAAATATAGTCAATAACTGTGTAATAACTTTGTAGGATGACGGACAATAACTAGACTTACTGTGGTGATCATTTTGTAATGTATAAAAATATCCCATCACTATGTTGTGTACCTGGAACTAACGTAGTGTCGTAGGTCAATTATATGTCAAGAAACAAACAAACAAACACGACACACAGGCTTCTAAACATTAAGAGAAAAAAAATCCATCGTTTCGTTGTACCATTTATCTTTACCAAGACTGGTAAAAATCCACCACCCTTATTAGAGAAATAACTCAAAGTTCATTCTTTACTGAAAATGGGTCAGTAATGTCTTCCTTGGAAACAAAGGACAGCAAACCATTGTAGGATTAAAAATAATTCTCAAGCTTTTTCTTCATTTGTTACTGAATCAAAAGTTTTGGCTGTTTTTAGTGCCCGAAGAGCATCAAAAACGTTGTTTCAGATGAACAGTTTTGTGAACCGTCCTATGTAATATAGATGATTTCACTGTCTAGTCTAGAAATGTGAAAATCTAAAACCATGAGGCAATAGCTTGGTATTTTACAACTTAAAAGGATGGTTTATTCAAACAATTGGTTAGAATCACTATAAATTAAATAAAATTTCATTTGATAGAAAAAAGATCTTGACCTCAGTGAGCTGGATGTTGGGTGACGATGTCAGGAGACCCCGGGGCTGGACAGGGGGCAGTAGGATTCGCCTCGGTGCCTCCACAAAGCTGTCACACGGCAGAGGCGCCAAAAGGTACGGGATTTATCACGAGCACCTGGACTAAAAGGCAGTCGGACTAGAGAGCATCACGGAGGCTCCTGACTGTCGGTTTACTTCTCCTCCCAAGGTGGGAAGGGGCTGCAGCAAACCCAATGCGAGGTGCCAGGACGTGGGGCGTAAGACCGTTAACCTCAAACAGTGGCCCCAAAGCAAGGCTAATGCTTCAGAGGGAGAACGAGCATCACTGTCACATTTTGAGGGCCTGGGTCTCAGAGGGGGTTCTCCTGGGTGGGGTCCAAATCCCAGATTCTGACTTGGGAAGGGGAGAGGTAAACCCACCAACCTAACAGAGGAGAAGTACTCAGGCAGAGAATGCTTTTATTCTATCCAACTCACCTCCGTAGAGTAGGAGGTGAATAGGAGAAAGTGCATTTATTTTAAAAGCAAAAGAATTCCAAGGTAGTAAGCCGACACCACCACCTGTGATGGGAGCGGAGGACCATCAAACCACCCTTACTTCACATGATAGTAAGCGCCCTTGATGCCTGAGGAGGGTAGAACTGTGTAGATAACCCCTCGCCTCTTTTCTCTCACAGGTGATTCAAACACCGTAAGGTCACTTTCTCTGACAGCTGTCTCCTGGTTACCAGGCTGCAGAGCAGTCCCAGGTAAAGATTCAGCACCCAAACAGGGGTCAAGGAGTTAGGCTGTGATTCAGGGAAGACGCTGATGAGAATTGGGGGTCTCTGTTCGACACTTGAAGCAAAGGGGCTATGCGGTACGGGCCATGTTTGGGGAGTTGAGGCACAGGTCTTTCTGGAAGCAGACGACGCGGGGGGAAGGTGCGTGTGCCTGTGCTGGGGGCAGCGCTCCTGTGTCGCTGGTGATGCCGATCCCTCGCCCACCCAAAGCCGGGCCAGGAGAGCCCCACGCGGCCGCCAGGGTGGACAGTGCAGAGGAGAGCCTGGGAGAGCACTACTCTGGGGCCTCCCCGCCCTGGCCGTCCGGGGGGCTGCACAGAGGCCGGCAGCCCTGCCCCGTGGCGCTGTCCCACACTGCGTGTCCTCTAGAGCTCCAGGGCCGGCTGCCCCACAGCCTGCTCCTCCACGGGCTGCATGGCCTCCTGCACGTAGACGATGAACTCCGAGGCCTCCCCGCCCTGTGTGTAGACGGTTACCGTCTCAATGCCCTCCACGTCGCCAGAGGACACCACCAAGTGATGCTGCTCAGCCAGCTCCACGGAGGCCTGCTGGAGGGTCTCCTGGATCATGACCGTGTGGTTGGAACTGGGCTCCTCGTCCGTGACCTGTGGGAGGGCAAGAGAAAGGTCACACGGGCCCCACTTCCAGGTCCAGCAGGACAAGAGAATCACAGCGACTGCCTATGGAGCATCTGGCACATTCCAGGAGCTGGTCCTTCCTGCACAGAATCATCTCAGCAATGCTCTACGCTTGCTCTCACCCCCGGTTTATAGATGAGGAGAGCGGCGCTCACCGGTGCAAAGTAACGTGGTCAGGGGCCCCAGCTGGGGCTAATGGTGGAACCCAAGTTCAAACACCCAGTCCAAGCTCTTCTCGTGATGCCTCCCAGAGGCGTGGGAGTTGCCGAGGCACTCTAGGAGTTACTTCCTGCAACCGTGTAGAGGGCTGGGTGCGGGGTCTCCTGGAAATTCATAGCTGGTCCATTTGGTGGTGAAAAAGGGACTAGTTTATCCTGGCTTATCTGTCTCTCCACACACTCTGGGAGCTCAGCTCTGTGTATGAAGAAGATCAACAGCACACCAGGCAGGAGTACACGCCCTTGCACGCCTGGTTTTGCCCAGGTGTCGTCCACCAACACTAGTGCCTCAGAGCAACGGGAGGGGTCTGCTGATGGGCACTCACTGCCCCGGGGCTCTGTCAGTGGAGGGGCCTGCTCACTCCTACGGGCGGGCCTTTCTCTGTAGCTCCAAGCAGGCAGATTCCAGACAAGGCCAAATTCCAGCTGGTGCTAAGGCCCCAGCTCCCTGACTGTGCACTCTGGTCTGTTTTACAACTGTCTTTGATTTTGAGAAGAGCAATGATACAAACAATATGGGAAAGATTTAGAAAGTGTTGAGACCCTAAGAGCTGCAAAAATGACTGAAGGATTAGAAAACCAGCCCAGGAGGACAGTGAAGGGGCCTGGACTTGCTGAGCTGGGGAACGAGAGCCCTCAGATGTAGGGAGGGATGTCACAGAGACCGGCCTTCCCCAGGGGGTCCGAACGGCGAGGTGGAAAGAACTTTGACCTGCACTTCGCGGGGCTTAGCTGTGAGCCTTGCCCACTCTCCCCTATGACTCTCAGGTGTCTCATCTGTAAAATAGGGACGAAAATGCCCACTTCAGAGAATGGCTAGGAGAACTGAAGAAGATTCCGTATGCAAAGTGGGTGCTTAATAACATCACCGCGCTTTTGGTGTCTTCATTCGTGTACTGAACAACGTTTTCTTAAGGTACTGCGGCATGTCAATTATTCATTCATTCAACAAAACCTTTGTCATTTTATCAGGTCCCAGTGGACTGAGCTCCATGAGGGCTAAGACGGCACTGCCCTGGCACAGCTCTTCTCCCAGAGCCAGGTGGGCAGGGCGGATGCCTGGCACGGAGCAAGAACCCAGTATTTGTGCAACGATGCTCCACTGGGTGCAGGTGCCCTGATGGGCGCTCAGGCAGCACATGGCGGAAAACCAGTCTAGCGGGGCAGACACAGGAACCGAGCGATGCTCTGACAGAGTGCCAGGGCAGCCTCCGGAGGAGGCATGGGATGGGACTCCAGGCAGAGAGGGCAGAAGGAGCAATGACTCCCAGGACCCCCAGGAGAGACTGGAAGCAGTGGGTTTGCTCAGGTGGCCTCCGTGAGCTCCCATTCATGACGCTTCTGACTCCCTTCCCAGCTGGAGCCTGGCGTGGGACGGTCTCCTCCCTGCCTGGCCCTCTGTAACAAGCCACGACCCCACGCCGTCTCTGGGAACGCCCCATGGGGCTTCCAGGGGTCTCCCTCGGCCCTGTGCCTGTGTCATTCCCTGACAGCAGGAAGGGCTGTGTCAGACGGGGTCATGTATAATGCAGAGAAGAAAATGGATGAGGCACCTCTGCGGTGGGCTCCACACAAAGTTACTGATTGGAAGGAACCTTTAACTTGGACTGACGGAATTTACCAGAAGCCAGAGAGATACCCTGAGTGCAAAGTATTAATCCATTTAGCCTGAGCTGTTTTTCTGCAGTAGATGGAGGCCTTTTTCTTCTTCTTCTTCTTTTACTGTTTGTTTCAATTTCATTTAAATGGGAAAATGTACTGTGAACCGAGACTTTAGAAGTAAATATTGATTTATTTCACTTTGAAAGAAGGTACCTGACAGAAGGGTGGGAAAGGGGGAAGGAATACTCAACAAATGCTTTCCTCTTAACTGTCAGTAAATTCTACATGAAGAAAGAAGTCAGGCGGCATGGGTGATTTATGCTGGGGTCCCAGCCTCAGGTGCGCAAAACAAGCTGATGCACTTCAGGTAAACAGATGACACAATGGTGACAAAGAAAAAGGGTGAGATCAACCAATACACGAGCTTTGAGATACCCTCCTGGCACTGTCGTTCACACACAGTGATTGCCATCATCAGAAATGAAGCCTAAAATGAGGAAGACGTCCAGCCTAAGATTTCACTCTCCTCTTGGACAACTCTAGCGCCTCGATGGCTGAGTACTGACAAGGGCTGACACTACTGCCCCGGACAAAGAGATCCCTGCCAGGCCCAGGGCTTTGATGAGCAGAGGCTGCAGCTCCTGTTCCCATGGCAGCGGGGTGGACACACACCCAGGAGCCGTCCCAGGAGGTCCCAGGACGACTGAGGCGTGGCCACTGCCCACAGATGTGGAAGAAGGGCAGAAACCAACATGAGGCCACCGTGCTCGAAATAAGGGCAATTACATGCTAACTCTGTCACATCAGGGCCCGGGGCCACTTCGTGGAAGGCGCTGTCTGCAGATGGTGGGAAAAGGCATGGCAGGCTGAGGGAAGGCGGCAAAGGGCAGGCATGTGCCCACAGTCCCACCAGGGCGACTGCCACCTCCCAGTCACCAAGCCCACTGGGCAGAGTGCCATCCTCACCTCTCCACACAGTCCTTTGCTGTCTGACACTGCTGAGCCAACCTCAGCTTTACTCACTGAGACGCCCTCTTCGCTGCTTCCACAACCCTCCAATTCCAGGCTTCCCCATCACGCTTCTCGTGCCCTCCCTCAAAGCCCGGAGGACTCCTACATCCCCATCCTGCGTCTCCTACGGGCCCCTCGTCTGCACTGAGGTTTTGCTCCTAGCTGAGCAAGGGACCCCAGACCTCGAGTGTGTCTGCACAGGGGAGGCTCCCAGGGGCTGTGTGTCTGTCCACTGCTAATTATAAGAGTAAAATAAACTTTCCAAACACGGTCCGTTGGGCTTAATTCAGCAGACAGAGTGACGAAGACAAAGATAAATGTCCAGTTCACAGAAGTCCTGCGAAGAGTGGCCCTCCAGATGACACAGCTGTAACAGGCGGGGCGTCCAAAGCCTAACTCACCACAAGTTCACGTTGTCACGAGCTTGCGTGAGCAGCTCCGCCGGCCCCGGAGAGGCCCCGCTTCACGTACGGCTGAAGAAACAGGAGCCGGGGTGGAGGAGGGCTGCGTTACAGAGGGAGGCACGGAGGCTCCCTGCAGAGCAAGCCCCTCCTCCCACTTCCCGCACTCTACCTGTTACATGATTTCCACTCTGTTTGTTGTCTGGCTTTGTGTTTCTGCAAACCATGGCATTCCTTCCCCGTCCCCGTGAAACCCAGTGGACACTCTCCCGGCCTCATCCCAATCATTTGCGCGCAGCATCTCGTGGCTTTTGCGCGTCTCTGAATGAAACCTCTAACGATTGGTGACTCATCTAAGGTCAAACAGCTGGAAAGTAGCAAAATCCGGACGTTAGTCTGGGTGACCTCAGGTCCAGGGACCTTCCTCAGCTGCTGTAGTGTGGCAGCGACTAAAGGAATTACATGCCATAGATCAACAGGGTTGAATTATTACTCTTTACCCACCCCAATCAGTCTATGGCTGGCTGTATAGCTCTCGACCATTTTCTTTGTTCAAAACCATCACTCTAGCAGTTTAATCTACTAGCACAGGCTTACAATTGTTCTCCACGGTAGAAATAATCTGGCTTCACAGCGTCATTATCCCCGAGATGGGTGCTCCATCTTCCCCAAGTGCTGTACCTAACACATCTTCCAGCTGAATTATCGGCAGCATAGACAGCTTAATGGAAAACCTTAACCTACAGGACTGTGCAAATTATTCACTAAGTCAGCCTCTGAGTTCTGCAGCTCTGCCTACCTCAAGTGTTCCAGAATCTAGACCAGATCTCTAACAGACCAGGGTACTCTGCTGGGCTCTGTACTCGTGGGAGAGCAGCTTCCCACCGAGACCCCATCTCCTCCACGGAGATGACGGCGGCTAAGGGATAGCTGGGATGTGGGTGGGGTCGCTTGTGCCCCAGTCTGCACACCTCTGCTCCGCTGCACCGCCTCCCAAATACACAGACAGGGCCCTGTCATCTAAGACGTGGATGCTCAGCACCTCCCTCATGCCCTACAGGCTCTGCGATAAGTGAGAAAAGGCTTATGTGTGAATGAGTGAAGAGGGCAGCACACAACCCTACGTGCCACACTGTGTGTCCCCTCACTGAGCACAGCCCCTTAGGCATCCGTGCCCGGCCAGACCCTGCCTGGCCGGAGCTGCCGCCCCATGCCCAGTGCCCTCCTGGCCTCCTGGGTCCTCCCCCAGCGTGGCTGCCCTGCTCGGAGCCCCTCCCTCACTCCCTTTGGGCTCCCGCTCCATTGTCACCGCGTCCAACAGGACTTCCCAGAGCCACCCCGCTAGCAGCAGCAGCAGCCTCGGGCACACTCCGGCCTCTCCTGCCCTCGTTCCTTCACTGCACTGTCGCCCCTGGGAGTCACATCACCTGTTCATCTACCTGCTCATCATCGTGAGCTTCATGAAAGCAGGAACCTGGGCTGTGTTTTGGCCACTTTATTCCAGCACCTGTGATGTGGCCTGGCACGAGGAAGGGCCTAGCCAGTACCTCCTGAACAGATGGCATCGGGCTCCACACCCGCACCAGAGGGGGGTCGGCACTCCTCGTGGGCGTCTATGTGCTGTACAACCATGAGCCCCTCTTCTCTTTTTTCTGTCACCTAAATTTTTAAAATAATACAGTCCTTTAATAACTGGGAAAAATGAGGCAAAAAGCAAGAAAGGAAAAAAGAAAAA